AGAAAATACAGACACTGTCAACTGAAGAATATGCTAGATATGTATCGAGTATCATGCAGATTTGAAAATGTTTTGTTGATTACTAGACTTGATTGCAATCGGTTGAGCCAGTCACTCTGAGCTCCGCCGCTCTGGAGATCTAACAAGGTTGAAACATCTAACTTTAGTAAGCTTTCCGGAGGGTTGCGTAAAGTGCAGATAGGGAAAGACCGTGTTCGCTGCCAGAACGTTTGTTTCATGGGTATGGCGGGCTTGTGTGCTGCACTGAAGTCGCGTCACTGAGAACTGGTACCAAAGTCTCCTTCAGCCTTGCAGAATGGAGAAGGCCAATGGATATTTGAACACAGGACATACTGGTAAGTACGTGGATGGAATGCACACTACAATAAAGGTAAAACCATCCACTGTACACATGTAGTGAACAATACAGTTCACTGCTGCATGTACTACAGTCTACACTGACATTTATTTCTCACGCGCATTATCATCAGCTCACCACCCTTGGACCACCGGGCACCAGAAAGCAAGAAGAAGCAATGGAGCTGTGGCCCTGAAGTTAAATATAGTTTCAAGTCTTTGTACAGAGTAAAAGCACTACTGACCTTGCGCTTGACAAGAGGAGCGGCCGGGTCGCTCTTGTCAATGACAATCCAGCCACCGGACATGGCCTTGCTGAATCCTATCTTGGCATTTGCTCCAAGTTTCTGGAGCGACACAAGATCAGAGCGAATCCAGAATACGATGATGAGAAGAGCGAGAAGGCAAAGTGATAACACACAAAATCCCGTGTAATCCAATAACCTGGGTCTTGCCGAAGACATGAAAAGCAAAAGCAAGCGTTATCTCAACCAACAAAAAATTCACGGTTCGCTTGAGACTGGGTTAGGCTGAGTTTTCAGTATCCGTAGGAACGCCACCACCCTGCAAAGACTCAACTGACAACGTGTACATGTATCTAGTTCTCACCATGAGCTCGGCCTGGGCTATTCCTGCTTCGGGAACTGCGTTGAAGACGGCCGCCTCGTGGCTGCCATTCTCGACAACACTGTGGCCTTCGTCCGTCAACTGCCACTGGTTCGTCTGCTTCTGTTCAGTTGTGAGTATCTGGTGGAGGACAACGGGAAGACCAGAGCAGGCAGCCAGGCAGCATGAACATCAACGATAGAGAGCAGTATGCATGCACCCACGCCACCATCCATCAGTGGCACATGGATAAGAAAAAAACCCCAAAACAATGCAGTCCTATGATATCCGACACATGCAGAATCCAATATCGTTACAAATACTGTATCACCAAATCATGAATCGCACATAACAGGAGACAGTCAAATGGACTTCAACCTGAACGAAGCGTTCGCAAAGAAAAAAAATAACACTCTCGCAGTGAACAGGATTCGAACCTGTGCGGGCAGAGCCCAATTGATTTCTAGTCAATCGCCTTAACCACTCGGCCACCACTGCATCCGATGAAAGCACAAAGTAGATAACATCCAATATTGCTGCCAGACGGGCAAATCAAGTTACGCCAGCGTACACAGCAGTGCAGCAGCACCGTGCCCATGCTCTTGCCAAGGCACACACACTGACGTGGCCATCTGAAGAACTACAACGTTGTCATTCCCAGCAAACAACGTTCACAGCCCTACATCAGTTGGTTTCACTTCTGTTTGCACTTCATTTCTTATCTACTAGTACAAGTAAAGTCAGGTTTGGTATTAAAAATGAAAGAAGAAAAAAAAACACCAGGGCACAAGTTATGCATTACAGCTGGAGCCCATCAACTATACCAGATCTTAAACGGTGAGACGCGCTCAGTTTAGCACACGACTGACAGGGAGTACTGGGACACTCCACGGCACGATCGTGAGCTTGAGCACAGCTCGATAGCGCAAACCAACAGCCTTCCAAGCTGAATGTCCCAGTTCTCCCTGTCAGGTTTGTGCTAAACTGTACACGTCGGACTGCTCAAGCTGGGAATCAAGATCTGGTACGGCTGTGGTGGACTCAAACACATAACCTATGCGCAGTGTTTTCTCCAGATCTATCCTTGGCTCACCATCTCAGTTCATATTATTGCCCCAGTAAATATGAATAAAGTGTCAGGTCATCCTATGGAGACACCAGGCACCCAGGGCTGACATGATCATTACGTTCTTCACAACAATACAGCTGTGTTCACAACTGGCGCGTGTACGCGTGGAACCACACGTTCGTGTGTATTTTTGCTGACTTTTGGGGCGTCATGCGTACGGAAATGCGCCGAAATGGAAATTCCAACATGCTCTATTTTTCAGCGCAAATCGTCGCACACCAGTGCACATGCCAGTCACTTTGACTGGCGGGGTCAAACTTTAGTACTCGCAGGCGTCGCATGCCCGGAGATACGACTCGAATTGCTGTTTTCTGTAAAAGCCTGAACGCGTGTTTGGGCACGCACCGCGTATACGCGCCAGTTGTGAACACAGCTTAACACTCAAGAATCTTCACCAAGTAGAGGAAAATATTTCTCAAGTGTGGTTCTATGCATGCAGGTGAACAATATTCACCAGCATCAAGAGTACAGTAAGATCGGGCGCCGAAGAACACCTCGCCGAAGAACACCCAGGCTGGAAAACCGGCAAAATTTAAGAACAGTCCAGGCTAGAATTATCAGATTTAAGAACACTAGATCTACATTGTACGTAGATCTACATTGTACATGTATGGGAGGTGAGTACATGTCATTGTCATGTACACGTGTAAACAGTAACTGCTACATGTACAGTCATTCCCATTTACGACACCCACTAGTTTAGAAGTACTACATTGCACTACATGTACATCATGTACAATCATGTACATCACTTCATGTGCATGACATTGTACTCGTGCTAACATCACACCCAATATCTGTATTTCGCTGCAAACGCCATCACTTTCCTCGCACAAAACACTCGTGCCAGGTAGGCACCAGGAATGTAGACGAAAATGTACCAGTTGCATTTATCCACCGACGCGTGGAACCAAGTCAAAACCCGCTATCAACAATAGAATCTTTTGAAAACGAAATGTGGAGTACAAATCAGGCTCTAACCTCCCCAACTGCTGAGATGCTGTTCATGGAACCGACGACATCCTGATGGTCTCTGCCAAGCTCTGCAGCAAATTCGAGTGTGTTAACAGTTCCTCTCCGATCCACAGCCTCAAGAATGGCTGTGGACAACTTCTCGGACCCATCCGCCGACGCCATTTCAAACTGTGTTCAAGACAAAGTAAAAAATGCAGGAAGGGACTTTCTCGATCAAGCTGCAAAATCTCCAGTCGAAGCACGATGTCATGGCATGCATGCGTTGTCATGGTTGTTGCATGCAAGTACGTAATCCATTATCTTTTCTCAGCAAGAAAGAAGCAAAAGTTTCAAAACATGACACTGAAACGTCAAAAATGAATTGCCCATCTCTTCTTCAATAAAACTTTGTTATTTTGTTGTTGAACACGATTGCTAGAATGGCGTTGCACATTGAGACACCTCTTATCCGAAGCGACTCTCTCAGTAAACGATGGAACTGTCCAGTTTTCTTGAAATTGGAGAATTTGCAGAATAGCGGAACGTTTAAAATCCGTGGAATTGGTCATCTTTGCCAAAAGGCAAGTGCCAGAAAGTACTCAAGGGAATTGTTTGCATCGATTGGCTTTGTAATTCGTTTTGGCTCTTGGATATGTGCATTGCGTGTCTTCCTGATTGAGAACATAGCATGTCTAGGTGTTGCAAATCAGGAGGATTATTCCCCAGTACACACCCCTAACACACCCCCAGGCCTCCTGTCCCAATCACAACGCAGAGTGCACTTCTAAGGGGTATAGTATTCCAGTCACGGCCAACTGATCATTACTAAAATAGGCGAAGTCTACACAATTCCCAGCTTCTTGCCGCAGTCAGTACGTATCAGAATAATGCACAACAAGAATTGACGTGCACGCACTCGCCGGACCTCTCCAATGAACTGTGTCTTGGCTATGACAACAGCACACAGTTAGGCAGACTCAAGCACACGATACAGTATGCAACATCTGTGGAACGTGACTTAATCTCTTTCCCTGGGGGTTGGTGAATTCGACACGTTGCGGACACAAATTGTAACTTCAGATATCGTGTGTGTACACTGTATTGGGAATTTGTTTGTGCGGAGTTAGTGCTTGACCACCGTAAACCCCTACCAGTCTCTTGCTCTTTATAAAAGTATTGGCTTATTTATGTGTCTGTGCTACCAGGCTGTCGCAACAGGATCTCAGAGATTTATCTGCTCTTCAGGTAGATTCGGGCGTCAAGTTTGCGTGTGTGTGTGTGTGTGTGTGTGTGTGTGCATTTGCCATTGGCCAGACTGATTTCACTACCTTCTCGATTCTGGTCGTTACTACATAATTGTAAATAATTCCTTTCGTCCATGCTGATAAGTCTGGATGAAGACCTGCTCACTATTCCTATGCATGTGTAATCTTACATTCGTCTGGTGAAACTTTGATCTGGTATGATTAGTGTTTAGATTGACTGACATGTATGTTTGTGTTCCAGTGGGCATGTTCTGTATCTGTTTGTGTTCCAGTGGGCATGTTCTGTATCTGTTTGTGTTCCATTGGGCATGTTCTGTATTTGTTTGTGTTCCAGTGGGCATGTTCTGTATCTGTTTGTGTTCCAGTGGGCATGTTCTGTATCTGTTTGTGTTCCAGTGGGCATGTTCTGTATCTGTTTGTGTTCCATTGGGTATGTTCTGTATTTGTATCAGGTGGAAACGCCGGCATGGCCGCGGCTCTTGCGGGGCGCGAGTTACAGCGCGACGTGACAATCATTGTGCCAGAGACAACACCAGTTCTCGTACGGGACAAGCTGCGAGGACTTGGAGCAGATGTCGTAGTTCATGGTTCGGTAAGCTGAAACACCATGTGTTGTGGCACCTCTTACTCACGACTCTTGAAAACTGATACTGTGTCAGAAGTATCAAATACTGGGGTTTTACGCACGCATTTGGAAAAAGGTTGTCAGAAAGCCTGCTTCAAAAATAGAAATTCACGGTTCGCGTGAGACTTGGCTGGAAGTCGAGTTTTCCGAATCGGCAGGAACGCCACCACCCTCTAGGATCAAGGCGCAGATGCAGCTCCTAAGCGGTAGGAGGTGAGTAGATCAGACCCACCACAAAGTGGTCAAAGACCGAAGATCTCATTCACTGCACCCATGCTTCAAATCGTGATTGTAAAGAAGGGCAAAGAATGTGAAATTCCCAGATGTCCGGCTCAAGATGGTTATGAGCGTCGATGGATGACACTCCGCGAGACTTTGACTTCCATCACATTATGCACGTGTTATTGATCAAGTGTAACCTAATCCCAGTGAGGCAGTAATGGCTGGTTCAAACTTTGACCGTTTGACACGCTGTCTTTTTCTTCTGCTTTTTTTCTTGAAAGGAATGGAATGCAGCTGATGCACTTGCCCGTGAAAAGGCACAGGAACCAGGTAAGGGCAGCCAGTGGCCGCAGATCTGCACTATGTACATGTACAGTGATGGCAACTGAAATCCGACCCGCTGAGCGGTGGGTTCACATTCTAGCGGTCTCTGTTTCGTAGTTTTACCATCCCGTGTTGGGTCTTCGCGATGTGAGCGCACCGCTCAGGGGGTCGGGTTTCAGTTGCCAGCACTGTACTTGCAACAGTTGAAGTCAACAACTAGACAAAGCCCCCATGTTTGCCCATTTTGACCAGCATGGTAGAGGACTTTTTTCGTGTCATCATACCCTTGCATGTGGTTGTGGCGTGGGTGAAGCCTTCTTCACTCCAGCTACTTGCTAGAACCAATTGTTGGCCCTTCTTCCAATGTAAAGTGACCCATGGCTTGATCTGTTTTAGCTCGATAAGTAAGTACTGTTAGGCGGTGAGGCCCAGGTCAAAAGCTCTATTATTCACATGTATATATCATTTTGGTCTATTGATAAGTTCTGTGCTTGCACATGTAAAGATTTTTGATGTTTTAAAGAGACTTGCCCTTACCCATGCCAGCACTCATGCCATACTTGTATGCGACTAGAACCTTCTCTCGAATATCCCCCCCCCCCCCCCCCCCCCCCATCCGGAGGCAGGTCGGAGTACAACATGTACATGACATGAAGACCCTGTCTCATAGTATTGTAGTGCCCCTACCTGGCTGGGGTAGTGTTTGAGGCTTTGAGCGCTTGTGCAACATTGCGTGTATGTATTCTTTTTTTTGGTCAGGAATATCAACATGTATGCATGATATCCCTTTCGATCAATAGTGTCAACCTTTCTTCTATCTTTTTTTCTGACTTCCACATACACAGGCTGTCAGTACATTCCGCCATTTGACCATCCTGATATCTGGTAAGTATGGACCTTCTGAAGTAACGGAAATATTTACCATATTTGGCAGGCGTATTGATCGCACCAAGAGTCCATAACCTCCCAGAGTGCGCAACTTCACTTATCAGATCTGGGACGGCGAAATCCGTGTTGCGCGCCATAGCATGACATCATGAGTAGGGGAAGTGCGGACCATGGTGGACCGCGTCGACGGAATGACGCAAGTCCGACCCAAAAAATGACGTATATCACGGATTACGCCGTCCCACAACCCCATCCCAGTTGCGCACTCTGGGGGATTATGGACTCTTGATCACGTCCGTTGATTTCCCCTACATCATTCTCACCGGCAGCAATAACTTCGAGTTAGCTTGCCCGTGGCTGAACTACATGTTCAGTCCATTCATCCAAAACTGGCCGTTCACATTCAAGGCCGGAAAAATGAAAAGGATAGGGAGTCAGAAATTTGGCTAGGTTTTACAAAATGTATGGAGGAGCCAATCCGAAACCCATGGGTTAATTTAAACTGGGGTTTTGAGCCTGGATTCGGCCAAACTCGGGTTTTAAGAAGCTAGCAGGACTAGTCTAATTGAATGGACTGTAGAGTGTTTCAGACCAGGATAAGGGACAGATGGTCCTATTTTTCTGATGTGAAGAAGTCCAGCCTACGTACACGTCCCAGAACGAACTGTGCATGGCTACTTGCAGTGCTATGTATTTGTTATTGCCTAGTGGCTGTAGTATACGTGCAGGTGTATATCTTTCTAGGCTGCGTTGTGCTGTCTGTGCCCGTGTTATTCTGTAGGGAGGGTCATTCATCCATGATGCACGAGATCCACCGCCAGCTACCGGCCGGAGTACAACCCGGCCTGTTCTCCGTCGCCGTCGGTGGTGGTGGCCTACTGTGTGGAGTACTGCAGGGAATGCACCACCAGGACATCGGCTGGGCGGACGTGCCTGTAGTGGCCATGGAAACCAACGGCTGCCATAGCTTTGCCGAGGCGGCGAAGAGCGGAAAAGTAGTCACACTGGATGCGATAACAAGGTACAGTGCACATATTAGAGCCAGGTGGCCTTTAAGGCCAGGTCCCATACATTCATGGCATATCGGATCGCGTACATACATGTGCGTGATTGTACTTCCATGTACTCATATTGACAGGTGTGGAGCATAGACTACTTTCTTGCAGGCAAAGCACACCTCACTCAAGTGCATGCAGTGCACCCTGCACTTTCACTTGTCACTTCTGTTGACTGCATGCACTTGCTTCAGAGCGCACTTCAACCCTGTTGCGGTCAACCCTGCCACATTTGGTTAGTTTGGTCGCTGTGTGCAGGTCCAATATGGCACTTGGTACACTAAAAGTCGGTCGCTGGTCGCACAAGGTAGGTGGTCGCTGTATCCGGTGCAGTTTCTGTGTAGAACTGCCCGTGCATGGAAAAACGGTCGTTAAAAGCAGGTGGTCGCTAAAACCAGAGGTCGCTTACACCAGGTTTTACTGTAACACATTGGCTTTGGGTGCAAGTAATGTAGGGTGGTGGTGGTATGTGTGTGTGTGGGGGGGCAGAAGGCCAAGGCAACGAAGGGCCTGTTAAGAAATGTACTTCGAAGTACAAGCATGATGACAGTGACATCCTTGCTGTTCTCTGCGTAAATTTGTGTTGTCACTTGCCTGTATTTGCTGCACACCTTATGATTTACATAGTTCAGAAGTTGTGCCTTGCATGCTGAGCTCTTATATTTTGAGCTTCCGGGGAAATGGTAGTTAAAGGGGAAGTTAAGGCAAAAATTAAAATTTCACCAGTTGTAGTCTTCGGGGTGCTGAGTCGAATGGTCGTGGTCCGAGGAAGCTGAGACGCTCCCTTCCTACTTGAATCCCAATCGAACTCGCGCACTTCCACCGAAACTGGGTGACTGCGCCCTACGAGATGGGGATTTGTATGCAAAATGTCACTAAAAGCGCCATTTCGTTCTTATAAAAGCACGGATGACCGCGATTGGCCCATATGTTGTATTCTTTTGGACGCTGAGTCGACTGGTTTTGGTCCGAAAAGGCTGCGATGCAGCGTTCCGCCTTTATTCCCAATCGAACATGGTTGAACAAGCGGTCACGTGCTCCTGCGTACGCCAGTCACCTGGTCACCGTGCCTGCAGGGTACAACTTACTAGCCTGTTTGACCTTTTTTGGGTGCAGTCCTGTCACTCGAGTTGAACTCGAGTTGAACCTTGGTGTGAAAGTTGTCACCTGCTGGCGTGGTGACCAGGTGATTTGGGCACCCAGGAGCACGTGACCACTTGTTCAACCATGTTCGATTGGGAATAAAGGAGGAACGCTGCATCGCAGCCTTTTCGGACCAAAACCAGTCGACTCAGCGTCCAAAAGACTACAACATATGGGCCAATCGCGGTCATCCGTGCTTTTATAAGAACGAAATGGCGCTTTTAGTGACATTTTGCATACAAATCCCCATCTAGTAGGGCGCAGTCACCCAGTTTCGGTGGAAGTGCGCGAGTTCGATTGGGATTCAAGTAGGAAGGGAGCGTCTCAGCTTCCTCGGACCAAGACCATTCGACTCAGCACCCCGAAGACTACAACTGGTGAAATTTTAATTTTTGCCTTAACTTCCCCTTTAAGCCCCGATTGTAAGTCGACTACCCCCTTTTTTAGTTCGTTTCAGGTCATGAAAGGTCGATTTATAACTGGTAAAATACAGTATGTGTGTGTGTGTGTGTGTGTGTGTTTGTGTGTGTTTGTGTGTGTTTGTGTGCATGTGCATACGTGCATGCACATATCTGTACGTGTACTTGCTTGCAGCGTGGCGACTTGCCTAGGCTCTAAGGCTGTTTGCCAGGAAGCAGTGGATTGGTGTAGCCGTCATAGCAGACTGCATAGTGTTGTCATTGAAGACAAGGAGACCATCGAGGCATGCACACGGTTTGCAGGTACGTGCATACGGCCGTCTTATCTGAGTGTATTTGTAGCATTGACTTCTGCATGGCTGTAACTTACATCCGACATTGGACCGTGTACTCCAGTACAGGGTTGCCTTGCTCGTGATTTGTCTGTTTCTGTTTGCCTCTGTTTGCACTCTGCCTGTGATTGACATCTGTGTAATAACCGTGTGCCGGTCTGGCTGCATTGTACCTACCATGTTCTCTTGACCTCTGCCCTTTTTCAACACAAGCCTTCCATCATGTGTGTGTGTGTATCCCACCTGGGCTGCTGTCTGCTCCCTCTCCCATATCTGTTTCCATGATAGTGGTGCGTTTAGCACACTACGAAGCCGAGACGTGAGGACGGCCGAAGAAACTACGTCTCACCGCCCTTTCGCTCCTCGATTCTAACAAGACTGGAGCATATGAGCGCTTGCTAAAAGGGGGGGGGGGGGATGGAGGGAAGGGAGATTTCACTAGGTCGCACAAGGTAGTATCTAGGCTATTGTCCTACAATTAGTTATTTAGAACCTCCAACTAAGGAGAGGCTTTCCATCCTGGAGTTGAAGTAGATACATGGAGCAGGGGCCACCCATTATTGTGGATGTTTGCACGAAACTAAAAGGTGTTCTTTTATAGGTGGTGGGTCTAGACCAGTTTCATTTTGAAATATCAATAGCTGAAAGATTGATTCAATGTTTACCGGGCTTGGATTATATTTTCCATGTGTGCTGTTGGACAGATGAGCATCGGATGCTTGTGGAGCCCGCCTGTGGAGCTGCCTTGTCAGCCGTGTACGGTGACTGCCTGAAGCAGCTGCAGCAGGACTCAGTTCTCTCCGCACACTTCTCCAGTATAGTTGTCATTGTCTGCGGCGGAAACTCCATCAGTACAAGAATGCTGGAGGACTGGAAGTCTAGATTTGATGTCAAGTGATTTGAAGGTGTGTTGAAGTTCAAGTTTCATTTTATCTGCCTCCCTACACCCTAGCTTAGCTACAGCAATACCTGTGTGTATGGAGGGGTGGGGGGGGGGGGGGTATTACTATTAGCCAATATACGTGCTATTGATGTGCGTATCCAGTATATCCCTTTTTGATCTTTAGCTATGGTAGGTTTTATCTTCATCAGTGTTTTGCTTGCATTCTTGCAGGCTTCGTATAACGCATTGCAGGCTTATTTTACTAGCTATTCATTATTCTCCTTCTGACTTAGATACTTGTACTAGAGCCGAATACATATTCAATTGTCAACTGAGTGCATTCAGTGCGTGTTCGATTGTCCTGTAGTTTGGTTCTGGACACTGTCTTTAGCTACTCCGCAATGATCACTTGCCTGTGGAGGGTTTAGTGAGCAAGTCTGAGAGGATGTCCACAGCAGGGAGTCGTCAAAGGTATTTGACGACTCCCTGGTCCACAGCTTATTCTTACATGCAAAGTGTTGATTTTTTATTTCCAGCGAAAAATGTTGAGGTGAACCGGCGTCCATCGTGTCCTCTCGATGTCTTTCATGGTATATTTCTAGTATTTTGATACTATTTTTCTCGGATTTCTCCTGGGTTTTGTGGCCCAACTATACGTCATGGTTTTCCAAACATACTTCATGTCATCCAGCAACACCTTAGTATGATCATATTTTGTGTGCCTTTGGCAAGACAGTGGCAAGTATTGACAGTAATTTAGATAGTGGACCACATTGTGCCGGGCTTCTCAGCATGCGGATTAACTGCGTGTCCGCTAGTATTTTGCATGTGTTGCGTTCACAGTCAGTGCAGGATCGTGAACGGTTTTGTCATGCATGTTGCCTGGTCTGCACTGCTAGATTAAATGTTCGTGCTGGTGGTGCTGGCGGTGGTGATGTAATTGTTCTTGAATGTGGGTGCTGTGGTTGCTGTGATTGTGGCCATCGTCATCCTTACCTTGCAGAGATCTACCTTGAGCCGTACCTTACCTTGCATGCCAGCCAGTGATGTGTAGCCGGCAACCACTCCGGGCCAGAGACCAGATGACCGTACCCAATAAACACTTGCTCTGCATCAGCATTACCACAGACTGACGGTGTGGTGTGGTCTACAAAATTAATGTCAGTTACAGTAAAACCTGTAACTAAAGACCACCGTGACTAGCGACCAGCCTGCTACTACAGTAAAACCTGTAACTAAAGACCACCGTGACTAGCGACCCGCCTGCTACTACAGTAAAACCTGTAACTAAAGACCACCGTGACTAGCGACCCGCCTGGTACTACAGACCACTTTGCCAGGCACGGACGGTTTCACATTCATATCATGGTTCTGTCCCCGGGGAAAATTGCGGAAAAAAATCGCAAAAAACGCGGGGAAAAACGCGGCATAATATGGCATAATTTGCGGTGAATTTGCGGTAAATATGCGGTGAATAATATTGATGTGCGGTAATTTTCAGTGAGTATGGAGTGAAATCAATCAGTTACAAGTCTCTGGTGTAAGCACTTGTCATATTTGAGTAAAAAGCCGCCACGATGAGACGTTGCTGACCGAACAGTGCACTGTGTGTACGTGTAGTGCAACAAAAAAGTTCAAAAATCGCGGAAAACGCGGTCTTTTAAAAAATCGCAAAAAACGCGGAAAAAAACGCGGCCGCGGAATTGCAATTTTCCCCGGGGACAGATGGTTGTGCAGTGCAAACCTCTAACAAAGGACCACCTGCCACTAAAGACCGCTTTCTCTGGCCCCAAGGGGTGGTCGTTAGTCACAGGTTTTATTGTATGTGAAATTGGCCTTCTCTAATCTGTACAGTGTACAGCCCGTCCCCAGCGATATTTGTGTGCAATGCATCATGTGACATGTCATGTAAAAGGCCAGTGGAATGACTGTCATGATTGTACATGACTATTGTACACAAAGGACGAAACAGTTCTGTCCGCAGATTGACTATTGTACAATGTATTTCACTGACACTGGCCCGCACCAGGAGCACAGTCTACAGTACAGTCAGTGCAACCTCGCTTTCCGACCACCTTACCAATCCGACCACTATTGCTCCCCCCCCCCCCCCCAATTCATGAAGCCCACATATTCAACTGAAACGATGGTCCCCGTCACCTTCGTCACTCACCACAAAATTCTAGTCACCCACCTGCACGTACCTGGTCACTGCATGCACGGCGATCTACCCGAGCTGATTTCCATGGTGACAATATTCAACAGTTCAGAATCAATCAGCAGAGGCGCTAGTTTTCAACTCTGAACTCCGAAGCTGCATGTCCATACCGGCGGTACCTGTCACTTGTGACTTCGTCGGTTTAGACTTCTTTACTCTTCACGACTTCAGTTGTCCGGCTGCCAAACCTCATCTCTACTCTAGTCTACGTGTAGAACTCACTGCCAAGCAAGTGCCAACCAGTTACCTTCAAGACTCACCAGCTAAGGACTTAGGTTAGGTGGTGGTTTCACATCATGATTCTTTCCATGCACCGGCACTGGCTGATTTTTTGGCGCTAGGAAGGTGCAACACGACGCCCAACACTTGCCGAAGTCTGCGAGTGTGACCTGCTGGAACTGATCAGCAACTGAGGACAGCCAGTGGGTAGTCGATCTAGCACCATCTCTATGTAGGGTCAGCAGTTTATCTCTCTTTCAGGCGTTCGGCCAGTTCAGTAAAGTAGTTTGGAAAAATCAGGCGAGGAGCCTTTGAACAGACCTAACATGGCTTTGCCAGGAATGGCCGGCAACGTCCGTTACTATAATCCCACGCGGCGAGACGTCCCGCTTCGCCTGGACCAAGAACGTATGATAGCGCAGCGGCGAGCCCGTGAAGCCGAGCAGCGGTCGACTTGGGCAAGTCATTCAAACTATTTCCAATCTGCCGACGTTCGCTCGGCGAAGACAAACCAATGGTCGTCAGAGCGGAGCTTCGGAGATAGGTAAGGGCCTGCACTGGTGATAATGACTATGTGCCCGCATAACTAGGCAACACTGGCCATTTCGTCGGACTAAGGCCGCAATCATTGAATGCCCTTACCTAGCTCAGCCTGCTATTGACTTTCAGGTGTTTTGTGCTCGGCCATAGTCGTAATCAAGCATGTCCGGGTCCAGGGAACTGGCAACAAAGCTCTTGACGTGCTGAAGGAAGAACCGTCCTCTTCAGGGAGAACTTGACCCAGGACAAACCGCGAAGCGCTTTTGCAGCAAAGTGTCTGTGCTTCATTCATTTTCACAATGGCATTGGGCATTGTTGTCAGCTAGCGCATTTGGCAGAAACTTGATTTTGAACAGGATGAGGCACCTGCACAGGTCCAGCTAGAAGATTCAAACTGCATAACTGAAATAGCCAAACCACACAACAAGACCAAGACTTGAGACGGATACTGGCAGATAATTATATTCAACATTTCGACAAATCCATGTCTCCCTTAGAAATAATATTGAATGACAGAGGGAACACAGTTGATATAATTATATTATGGGAGAAGAGTCACATCGTTTTTGGAACATTCCTCTCCCCTACATCACCTGTTCCCTCTGTCGTTCAACACCATTTCCGAGGAATACATTGACTTGTCGGAATGCTAAATATATCAGTATCTGTCTTGAGTCCTGGTCCTGTTGCAACGTTCGGCTAACGTTACATATCCAGCCAGCTCAGTGAGAGTGATGAGTCACCACTACATTTACTTGTCCTGAAGATAGGGATCTCAGCGCGTGCAGTGCGCAGGGTGTTTGCGCATACATTGCGTCATCGAGTTTTGAGTGCAGCTCGCGGACACAGCAGAAAAATGGCGACGGTCGATTTTCGACACTAGGGGACGCGGTGGACACTAGCGGAATCGTCATCTTCATCGTCGTTCAAACATACTTTGTAAGGACAGCGTGGCCAAGGCGATATTGCCCCGTCGATTTTCCTAAAATTTTCCATGCGGCAAGAACCCACTTCAGAGAGGATTCAGTCAAAAATTCAGACGTTTTCTCCGGTTAGATTGTCCTAACTTCGATTTTCAGTGCATCAGCCATCGCGAACATCGCCGCCATTATCACTCGGAGAGAAGACATCGCGCTCAGTAGAAGAGGTGTTCACGCTGTGTCCAAGAGTGAAAGATTGTGCTCTTTGACCCTCCATAGTTCCTCTGAGAGAGTGTCTGGGAGATAGGTAGCTTGGAGATGGCCGTAGAACGTGCTTTCCTGGACGCAATATTCAGCCATTTCTACTGTCTTCTTCAACTTGATTTATTTCGAAAAAAATGTTCTTGTCCACGATTTCTGCACTGGACGCGTTTGGGATCGAAAATCTCACCTGCGCAGACTGGCTGCGCAGTTCACGCGCTGAGATCCCTACTGAAGAGGCTTTGTGTGCGTGCGCTCGTGTGTGTGTGTGTGTGTGTTCAAGGTTTAAGGTTCAAGGTTAAGGTTCAAGGTGTTGTGTGTGTTGAAAAAATGAAAAATGAAAAATAGGAATTCACTGGCCAGAAAAAAGCCACTTCAAACAGCTGTGTGGTGAATACCAGGCTAAAATTAGTGGTGGTCAATTCATCAGCCTTGCAAGCTGTTGAATGGTGTAATCCCAGCACGAGTTGCTATGTGTAGCTGTTCGCGATCATCGCTTCAGCGATGGGCATGTCTGAGTCTGAGTGTGTGTGTGTGTGTGTGTGTGTGTGTGTGTGTGTGTGTGTGTGTGTGTGTGTGTGTGTGTGTGTGTGTGTGTGTGTCATATGGTGCAGTGGTATGTGCAGTCAATTTCCAATCGAGAGGTTGCGGGTTCAATTCCCGACGATTATGGTCGCACACGTCTTTCTTCTCTTTCTCGGACTCTTCCTGACTTTTCTTTCATTCTCCTGGGTGGTTACCAACAGCCAGTGTATGAGAGTTGGTGGACAAGCCGTTGATTATCCACTCTCATTGTAATATCAAAAAACGAAAAAAGTATTCTTTCTAGACCAAAGAGTTACCACTCTTTGGTCTAGAAAGAATACTTTTTTGATACTTGATAAAATTGAATAACGATAGAAATATTTACGATACTTCTCCAGATGTTTCGTTGTTCTGAACAACATCGTCAGTGGATAAAGAATGGAGGGCTTTGGGTGGTGGCACGGGTTAATAGGGAGTGATGGTGGTGAGATGAGGTGAGAAGGTGAAGGTGGGAAATACATGTATCTAAGTTAATGGTGAAGGTTAGGTGCGGGTCGATACAGGTGGGAAGGCGTACACCCTTCGGGTAGAAGTGTAGGTTGGTAGAAGGTGTTGGTGTGTGTAGAAGGTGGAGTGGCGTAATGGAAGTGTTGGGTTGATAAATGTGGGAGAGAGTCTAGGTAGGGTGTGGATCAGCAATAGGTGTTGGTGTATGTGGTGGGTAGAATTGGCAAGAGGTGTGTGTGTGCTGAAGAACTGAAGAAGAAAATCCCCATCTCATTCGACGTGATCTCGCTGTACACAAACATTGGCATTGAAGAAGGAATCAGCACCGTCCTCGAATACGCGAATCGCTTCAAAATCAATACCTACTCCCTCACACCGGTCGACCTAAAAGAGCTACTCGGACTGATTCTATATAACGTGTTCCAACACCCAACCCATGGAACATTCAAACAGACAAGGGGATTGGCGATGGGCAGCAGACTCGGCGGCACAATAGCCATCATCGTCCTGGATCGCTTTGAACAGCGCCACATTTACAGAAACATCTCGCCGCCGTTGCCAGTGTTCGTTCGCTATGTAGACGACTCGGGAACCGCAGTTGACACTCCTGCGGAAGCACGGTCTCTACTGACCAAACTCAACGGAAAACACCCGACAATCAAGTTTGAACTGGAGTTGCCGGACGAAGATGGTTTCCTACCAATCCTGGATATCAGACTAAAGATTCTTCCCGACGGCAAAGTCACACACAAGCTCTACGTAAAAGAAGCAAACAAAGGAATAACACTACACGCAGATTCCCACCATCCAACGGCGGTTAAGATGGCGGTCATTAACAATGAATACAAACGAGCACAAGACAACAGCACGCCTGAGTTTGCGGAGGAAGCCAGACGCCTCATCTCAGATAAACTTTCAGGGAACGGCTATTCTGCAGAACACATCATCAAAGTGCAAGCCCGAAGAAGAAACACAAGTAAACAAACAAAAGGGAAACAACTGGTATTTAGAGTACCATACATCTCCGACAAGGTTAACGGCCAAGTACAACAGGCACTTAAGAAAAACGGCATAACGGCACGCCTCGTTAACCCTCGACCCCCACCATCCAAGAACTCAAGAAGAAAAAAGGAGAATCGGAAAAATGCAGAATGCGCGAATGCCCTATGTTCAGGAAGAAATGCACCTGCAGATTTGCCGTGTACGAAGCTACATGCCACCTTTGTCACGAGAGATACGTCGGCTCGACTGGGAGGCAAGTGCACACCCGGGCCCAAGAGCACACAAATGCTGCAAAATCTCATGACAAGAAGTCTGCATTCGGTGTGCACTACGCTAGGGAACACCCGAACGCCACCCCAGAGATTATGCACAAGATTGCTCAGCTCACGGAGAGGGATGAACTGAGGCTCCGGATCCGTGAGGCATATGCCATTCGCGACAAGAAACCAACTATCAACAGAAGAAAAGAAGATATGGGAACTGGATTCTTGGCATAGCTTGCCTGCCACCATCCACTATCTGCCAACCCATCCAAAAATGATCGCAATAGAAGAAGAACACCCGGTGCTCTCCCCCCCCCCCCCCCCCCCAACACACTACACTGCCAAAAAGCTTGCAAACGCACACGCATACACACACACACACAGTCCAGGACCGGCGGAAGCAGTTTTGGATTGGTCCGGCCATACCCTAGTCGTTCCTGCTTTGTGTATGATATGGAGGGTAATCAAATTACACATGACCCCTTCAGCAGTAGACAGGTGTTGGTGGCCAAAGAGTTGGTCCGGCCATGGCCTGACCAGCCGGACCAGTTCCGCCGGGCTTGCACACACACACACACACACACACACACACACACACACACACACACACACACACACACACACACACACACACACACACACACACACACACACACACACACACACACACACACACACACACACACACACACACACACACACCTCTTTGTATATACTGCTGCTATTGCTGATATTATAAATATCACTAGACGAATCACAACCTCTTGTTTTAGTCCCACCCACCACCTCAAAATATTCCTGCACCCCTTGCCTATAGCGCACACCTTCTGTCACATCTTCCTTCCACGCATACCAATACTCACTACCTTACTCTTTTTCGCACGCACCTGGTCCTGGTCCTGGTAAACACTGCCATTACGGTCACGTGTCCCCTCGCGGGGCCGACAACATGGAAAACGACGCGCGACGGCAGAAAGTCGGCAGTCTGCCGAGAGATCAGGGACCATGTTCAATCGGCACGACGAGAGAGCCATCTCCGGCAGCTATGGATTTGGAATCCACGAGTAGAGCGGCAGCACCGGCCACAGGCCCCACAGTGGGCCTTGCAGCATGAGAGGGCGAGCCGCACACGCGGCGGCGGAGGAGTCGCCTGAGCAGCAATGGTAGACACCGCCGCCTGGCACGGAGCCCGAGACGATGTCGCGGGGAGCATCCGGGAGTTGGGGCACTTGTGGACCGCCAAACCTCCGGCACTGCGGAGCCAGCGCTCGCAGGAAGAACATTGTCGGCTACCTCTCTGCACACACTCACACACACACACACACACACGCACACGCACACACACACACACGCACACACACACCTCTTGCCAATTCTACCCACCACATACACCAACACCTATTGCTGATCCACACCCTACCTAGACTCTCTCCCACATTTATCAACCCGACACTTCCATTACGCCACTCCACCTTCTACACACACCAACACCTTCTACCAACCTACACTTCTACCCGAAGGGTGTACGCCTTCCCACCTGTATCGACTCGCACCTAACCTTCACCATAAACTTAGATACATGTATTTCCCACCTTCACCTTCTCACCTCATCTCACCACCATCACTCCCTATTAACCCGTGCCACCACCCAAAGCCCTCCATTCTTTATCCACCGACGATGTTGTTCAGAACAACGAAACGTCTGGAGAAGTATCGTAAATATTTCTATCGTTATTAAATTTTATCAAATATACCACTCTTTGGTCTAGAAAGAATCCTTTTTTGATAGCCAGTGTATGCCGGAGTATGTGGTGTGGTGTGTGTAGAAAAAAATGGAAAAATGGAAAATAGGGATTCACAGGCCAGGAAAAGTCACTTCAAACATCTGTGTGGTGGATACCAGGCTAAAAATAGTGGCGGTCAATTCATCAGCTTTGCAAGCTGTTGAATGGTATAATCCCAGCACAAGTTGCTATGTCTAACATAGCTGTTCGCTGTCATCGCTTCCGCTATGGGCATGTCTGAGGTGTGTGTGTGTGTGTGTGTGTGTGTGTGTGTGTGTGTGTGTGTGTGTGTGTGTGTGTGTACATGTATTTGCCACATTCACTGGTCCGGACCGGTGCTTTCTTCATTCGCCTCTGTGCCGCAGCATTGCAGCATATGAATCTCGCTACACTGCGGAAGAGAAACAAAAAAAGCTTGCTGACCGTCGGCAGAGGCTTTCTACCCTGCTCACGCAGGAGAGGGAACTTTACGAGGTGAGGAAGCATTCTGCAGCACAAACATCCACTTTACAGAGACTTTTAAAATTAAAAGACATCCATTATGCCGCAGTTTCTAACTAAGTAGCATATTTTAAAACTGAGATACTCTAGGAGTCAGGTCGAGATCCTGAATGATATGCAGTTTGGACACATATTCCTGCTGGATCGGTCACCGACATGAAACGAACTTTGCATTGTATGATTATGGGCCTGCATATACCCGGTAGTAGCTAGGGATGTTCGAATCTCAATTATCACGTTAATGTTCCGCACCTCAAGCATCAGAATGTGAACTCCTGGCCTCTCACTTGCCTGCCAATTTCACAAACTTGTTAGTCCAACACAAGCCAATGACATGACTCCACGGTCCCATGTGCCCACCTCACCCCCAGATCCCCGCTGACAGGTTCATCAGAAGAGGCTGGTGACCGTTAAAAAGAGCTCATCACCGTGTCTGTACCTGACAATACCTCGGATAACAGGAGGTCCTCCTTTTATACGTGATCACCAGTAATGGCTTAGTGACCACTGCATGTAGTACGTGCTGCCATACTCCTCCATGGTCCTGTCAAATATAGACTGTCCGACTGGGGCAGGCTAGGGCAATGACCACGATATTCACATGTAGTCACTGGTGTCCAGCACTAATGGTGGATTAACAGTGGCGGATCCAGGACTTGGCCGAAGAGGGGGCCCAAGGTATCCGCCCCCCCCCCCCCCCCAACAACAAATACAACAACAACAAAGTCGTCCTGAAGTAGTTGTGAAGAGCTGTTGTATTTAGGGTCCGGCGGATTCTGCCGGCAGAAAAATTGGCAGAATTCTGTACTTTTTCTGGTAAGTTTCATGGATGTTTGGTATGTGGATAAAAAAATGGAGCAGAATTCGAGGAATTGCCCGCCATAAGGTTTGTATGGTTCTGCCAATTTCACTGCTTTTCGAGCAGAATATGCCACCTTTTCGAGCAGAATCCGCCGGTACGCGGTCCCTAGTTTTATTCCATTCTCACGACATTTTCAAACTGCACTGGAACATTTCCACTCGACAGCGCTAGCGGCCGCGACGGACCTTTGGACGGCTCTCCAACGCGAGCTCTCTTATCTACCGGTCCACTGAAGAACGACCTGATGTCAGACCCTTTCCTCTTCATCTCATATCTGAAGGTAACCCGTTGGCTACAAGCGAAGTAGAGAGCTAGAGAGCGTTTACTTGTAGTTTCTGACAAGTGAAAAAGAAAAAAGGAAGGACGAAGTCGACAGCTAGCACCGTGCACAATACTGGACTTCAGCCCAACGCGATCGCTGTACCAGGCCCTGCATTTTTGGCACGTTTTTCACATGTTTGAAGTGCGGCCGTGTCCTCAGGTCGCAGTGCGTACAGTAGTCAGGTAGTTGTACACCGGTACACAGCGCGCTGACTAGTACAGACTCAGTGCGTGACACCATGTACCGGATCGCGCAGTGACCGGACACGTATAAAAGTACCCAGCACGAGTGACCCACTTGACACGCCAAGTCATTTCGAGCGCTCATTCTACAGTCTACTGAGTACTGTAATCCTGTAGATCAAGGTCGAAATTTTCAAAGGGGGGGGGGGGGCCCAGGCCCCCTGGGCCCCCCCCTGGATCCGCCACTGGACCGTGGGCCTCTCTTAGGTGACTGGGTTTAGAACTGGCAGTCTGCAACGATACAATGCTTGCAATGCATCCTGTACCTCCGTGTCCGGTTCAGCCAGTGCCTCCAGTGTGTGGCTACATGTCTCTGATTGTGATCCCCTGTTTCGGTACAGGATGAGCTTCGCGGTGTAAAGGGCACACAGTCGGACCAATTCAGGGAGATGAAAGACAGGTACAGTGTATATGTGTGTCCGTGTGTGTGTGTGTGTGCGGGGGGGGGGGGGAGGGGTGTTCCGTATATCCCGCCCACTTGAACAGCGAAAGGAATTGTTTCTATGGCATAGGCGCTGTATCCTAGAACGACTGTGAACAAACTTTCCTCTGCGCCATGCTCGTTATTGATTTCACGCTCTGTTTTTTGAGAGCCTCCTGGTGGTAGTAACTCCTCACTCAGCATACGCTACCTTTCCTAGGGATCATCCTTGCATGTCTGCACAATTGATGTGTGAACACCAGTTACACCACCGCATTGTTCACTTTACAGTGCAAAGGGCCTCACGCCATATCAACAGCAGTACGTGTCACGTTTGCTGGAGTTATTCGACAGGGTTTTCCTGCTGCTGGTGATCAGTCTACATCATCGGCATGTCTGGTGTTGAGGCTTGCCAATGTGCAAGGATCACTGTGAATTCTACCCTGGCATGTTAGCTAGTGCATTGCTGGATGACGGAATCACTGTGCAACTATACTGCATACCGATCCTCCAATGTTCTTGATGTGATCTGCAACTTCTGTGTTTGTCACAGAGTGGATACACTACGAAGTAGAAGAGAGGAAGAGCGTAAGAAGGTGAGGAATTCACTCACGAGATTATGGTCTTAGATAACTCATGGTCTCTTCAAATTCCTATTCACTGTTCAGTGTAACCGGCTCAGTGGCATGTATACTTCGAGTACATGCAGAATAACAATTTCACTGTTTTTTTTGTAGCTGTGTGTATACAGTCAACGTTGTGAATAACGGCCCTCTACCGTGCATGAGAAAAATGTTGGCATTCACGATTTGTTGCTTTTCGTGAGATGGAAACTATGTAGTCAAGTGGTCACTAGGTCCAATGGTTGTGTCGTTACTCGTGACTTGTTGTTATATCAGAGGTCGTTATCCACGAGGTTCACCGTGTATGTCCATACATGTATATATCTCTGCTGAATGCAGCTTGCTCAAGCCAAATTCCAACAGCACTTCGATGAGAACTGCCGAGAACTGAGACAGGTAAGTTCCATGCAAGTACATATGCTTGTAGTTCAAAATGATCCAGATTCAGCTAAGAAGAACGCACAAGGTCTCACCCCTTAAGTCCTCTGTACTTCGAAGTAGGGATGAAACGATTATGCCGATTACTCGGAACTTACTCGTTATCTCTGTGATCGCTACTCGTTATGCTGTTATCCAGTATGCACTACTTGTACATGTGCAGTGTACATGTCAGGGATGAATTTATCCTGTATCGCATCGCAGTTTGCGATGCAAAATCGATCTACTGCTACTCAAAAGTCACCATGACTCGCAGAAAATTGCGATGCATACACACTATCCATGCCTAGCCTGTGCTGTCATGTATCATGCATACAGTGCGGTGTATGGGGTGCAGACACTCTCAATCTGCGTGCATATGTACGCTTCAGTCGTTTTTTTGCAAATGGGCTTCCGGCATCACTCTCAAGAAGGACAATGTGGTAAATACCCTACCTTCAAAGAAAAAATGCTAATAAAAATCAAAGACTGCTACACAATTGTGAATTCGTATAGCAGAAACCACTATGCAAAAATATGACAGTAAATTCATCCCTGCATGTGCATAGTACTAGCTAAGTCGCACTGTCTGCATAGTCAACTCCAGCACGCGTCATCCAAGGTGACAAAATCCACGCCTTTTTCTAGGCACCTTCGCACTTTTGGGATCCGGTGTGTCATGCACATATTCCCCGGAGACCAGTAAAATATATTTGTCATACAAATTCAGCATACTCGTTTTATGATAACTCGATCGTTAATAATAAACGGTACTCGATAAGAAGAAATGGATGATCGTTTCATCCCTACTTCGAAGTACATAGAATATGACCAGCAAAGCATTTTGGTGATTCCGTAGCGTTTCCAGAATGTCACCCAATCTCAATTTGTGAAACAAAGTAAGGTAGAAATTTCACTGCCAGCTGGGGAATGGGGGAAATTGAGGTAATGTGGTGTTCTGAGGCTGAAAGCTTTGGAATCATTGAAGGCACCTTTTGCATAATCTGGACCGCATATACCTGGGAGGTTAGAGTGGATAAATCATGGCAAATTCATATTACGTACATGTCTGTGTGTTTCCTGTTTTGTGTGTTCCATGCTGGCAAATTTCCACAATGGTCTGTCAGCTCGAATCACGGCAAATGCAGCGCGACACCGAGGCTACATGGGAGGCTCAACAGCTGGAGCGACAAAGTGTGAGTTTATCAGTGCACGCATGATGTACATATGCCGCATGCACAGACCTGAACATTGTGCACAAAGAGCAGTTCAAACTAATGCTGGCCCGGACTGGAGAAACTCACAAGATTGGCAGCTACGCTGTAAGTACTAAGTGTTAGGTACCTCCTCCCGTACAATCTTACCTACAACCTTTCCTAACCTTTTGAGCCCGGGCCCATTGAAAACCTCTGCCTCGCAGTAACAATTTTAAATTCACTCTATGTGAGCAAACTTGATTTCAAACGATTCTTTCATGTATCCTGAGCACATAACTGTTTTTGTTTTGGAAATACAACAAAGATTACAAAAGTTATGACCGTTTTCATAAAGGTAGTTTTGCGCAAAATGTATGCACGCGCATGTAAACTCCAGTTCAAACGTACGGAGCGACTCGCATTTTTTGTTACTGTACTCGTACATCCTAGGAGTCCTCTGTGCAGCGGTACAGCTCGGCGCCACGCCACGGAAGAAACGCGGTATCAATGTTTCCGCACTGACTCGTGACATTCTAGAACGTCACGCGTGTCACAGTGGCAGTGGTCATGACGTGTCAGAACGTCACGCGTGCTCAGAAGGTTAAGCTGGCCGGCCTGCATGCACCCGTACTACGTCATACTCACCTTTCGTTCTGTTGGCCTGGGTAGCTACTTGCGCGCCCATGTTTGCCATAGCTACCCAGGCCCTTTATATTGCGTTGTTTCTCAGTCGAGCTATCTCTCCTCAATAATCTCTCTCTCTTTTCCTGCTTCAGTGTCGCACTGAAAGCTAATGAACACACAAAATAAAAATGTACCAATATAATAATAACCTCATAAGTTACATAGAACAGAAAAGAATGGCAATCAGTGTTTAAGAGGCTGTAGCTCAGTAACTTCACCTGGCAATGGTGTGCTAAGATCCAGATCATTACATTGCTTATCATCACCACCATCACGCTTAAAATGTGATCTCAGTTTTCGCACAATCAAATCAAGCCACTTCAACAGCACGAGAAGTCCGGCCAGGACCAGGTACACGCACGCCAGGATGGTGAAGGCGGCCTGGAAGTCCAGCACGGCCACCAGCGGGCTCATCACCAGTGGCCCAATACCGGAACCGACGGAGAGAAACAGACGCGTCTCCACGTCCCTGCCCACACCGACCAGCCGCAGGTGCTCCGACGCCGCCACCACGGCCGATACTGCCATGACAACGCGGGGGACGCCCCACGGTACCATGGTGACGAAGACCAGCGGCAGGGACGCGGGTATGTGCAGGAAGGATGAGGGCCCGACCAGCAGGCACCCCACCACGTTCAGCAGCATGCCCACGAACACCAGCACGTAACAACTACAGCCATTGTCGATCAGCTTGCCAACAATCGGCGACGATACGATATTAGCTAGAACCTGCAATGCCAGCGCCGCTCCGACGGTCACGGAGCGTACACCGAACACATTTCTCATCTGCGTGGCAAGCAGAGCCTCGCTGGAGCTGTAGGCCAGGTTGGATACCACGAAGATGAGCAGGATGTAGCTGAGCAGGACCACATCCAGGGTATTCGCAGTGCGGCGAGAACCCCCGTGTGCCGCTCGCGAGCGCCGCCATTCCGCCGAGTCGTCAGCGCGTCGACGTCGACGATGAAGAGCACGAGAGCGACGGTCACGCACCAGGCTATAGCCCCGGTGACGATGAATGGCAACATGAAGCCGCCAACATCGTACAGACCTCCGGCGAGCACGGTGGCAACAGCGTGACCCAGCGACAGGCTGATCATCATCAGTGCGTTGACAAAGCCAAGGTTCATCGGGTAGATCTGTGTAAGATAGGACTGCGCCGCGATGGTGGTGGTAGTGAACGCCATGCCCTGCAGGAAGCGTATGGCGTACGCGTACGCCAAGAACACGCGCCAGCTGGAGATGCGGTCGAGCACGGAGAACAGAAGGGAGCAAGCGCCCTGTACCGCGACACCCAGGACAAGCGCCTGTTTGCTTCCGATGTTCGGCAGGTCGTGCATGATGAACGCAATGCACCCGATCTGATTCATGCTGAACACCGCGCCGATGGCCGTGTGGCCAGTGCGGCGTGAGAAAAGAACGGACTGAGCTGCGCCATGTTCAGCGGACATGTGACCACCGCCACACCTAAGAAGCAGACAGTGAGAAAACGCTGACAACGAGACATGCCGCCAATACCTGACTCACTGCTCCGCGTCTTCTCGCCCGCAGCCGTGCCACAGCGCCTTGCATCCTCATCACACTGCAAAGTTCCGATGACATCATTGGTTACGTCATTGGTGACATCATTGCTAGCTGCAGAGAAACTCAGTCGGTAGAGCATAAGACTCTTAATCTCAGGGTCGTGGGTTCGAGCCCCACGTTGGGCGCCAATGTTGAGTATGAATTAGACCCAATATTGTCCAGATACAATTCGCAACGGGACAGGTAGGTGGAACGTCATTTATTAGGGTAGACGAAGAGACGGAGACAAAGACGAACTACTACGACTACATTATGATTATTGACGAGAGCGAGATTATTTGAAGAGAGAGAGATTATTGAAGAGAGATAGCTCGACTGAGAAACAACGCAATATAAAGGGCCTGGGTAGCTATGGCAAACATGGGCGCACAAGTAGCTACCGAGGCCAACGGAACGAAAGGTGAGTATGACGTAGTACGGGTGCATGCAGGCCGGCCAGCTTAGGAAAGGTTGTAGGTAAGATTGTACGGGAGGAGGTACCTAACACTTAGTACTTACTGAGTGACTACTTTAAACACTACACAGACTTGAGCTCTCCTGGTTATCAAAGATTTGAGCTCTCCTGGTTATCAAAGATTTGAGCTCTCCTGGTTATCAAAGATTTGAGCTCTCCTGGTTATCAAAGATTTGAGCTCTCCTGGTTATCAAAGATTTGAGCTCACCTGGTTATCAAAGATTTGAGCTCTCCTGGTTATCAAAGATTTGAGCTCTCCTGGTTATCAAAGATTTGAGCTCTCCTGGTTATCAAAGGACTTGAGCTCTCCTGGTTATCAAAGGACTTGAGCTCTCCTGGTTATCAAAGATTTGAGCTCTCCTGGTTATCAAAGATTTGAGCTCTCCTGGTTATCAAAGATTTGAGCTCTCCTGGTTATCAAAGATTTGAGCTCTCCTGGTTATCAAAGATTTGAGCTCTCCTGGTTATCAAAGATTTGAGCTCTCCTGGTTATCAAAGATTTGAGCTCTCCTGGTTATCAAAGATTTGAGCTCTCCTGGTTATCAAAGATTTGAGCTCTCCTGGTTATCAAAGATTTGAGCTCTCCTGGTTATCAAAGATTTGAGCTCTCCTGGTTATCAAAGATTTGAGCTCTCCTGGTTATCAAAGATTTGAGCTCTCCTGGTTATCAAAGATTTGAGCTCTCCTGGTTATCAAAGATTTGAGCTCTCCTGGTTATCAAAGATTTGAGCTCTCCTGGTTATCAAAGATTTGAGCTCTCCTGGTTATCAAAGGACTTGAGCTCTCCTGGTTATCAAAGGACTTGAGCTCTCCTGGTTATCAAAGCGACTTAGTTTTTCCTCTTCAATGGTATGCTGTGTGTTTTGCAGAGGCTGCGCAAAGACGAGGAGGAGCGTAGAAGGTGAGATAGTCCAGCAATTTATTGAATTAGTTTGTCAAACTGGACCACGCATGTACATATGTGTAAAGGGGCTGTATTTAGTTATTCCGACATTGCTGCGCAGGTTGCATATTGTACAAAACTGGCCTTCGATAGCAGTCAGCGACCTCCCTGTGTCTATGCATTGATTCTTTAGCAGCCTTTAGTTTATATTCTTTTTGGGTGGGTGTACGTTTGTGCTAACATCCAAGCAGCCAGTACCATTCTACAGCATCACATTGTAGCGTAATGGTACTGCTCTAAGCTCTCTCCCTGACCATGTTACTCCTATCCAACCCTGACTATCTGCAGGTATGAAGAGGAACAAGAAAGACAACGGCAGTGGCAGGAAGCTGAGCATGCTGCCCGAGAGAGAAGTCGTCAAAGGTAGGCTGGCAGCAAAGCGGACTTGATTGCTGTTACTCAGTGGTAGAATGATAGTTCTGTGCTGCATGGGCTGTTATACCGATACACAATGCGGACGAGAGGCCGTGCCCATTTACACGCGTGTGTGCATGTGTGTGTGTGTTTGTTTGGGCATGTGTGTGTTGCATTCTCATCCTGTGCTCAGTGAACGAAGGGCTGTTGCTGAGGAACTTCAAGCACAGATGAGGCAGTTGAAGCTCAAGGATCAGGAGGTATGCTGGTTCACCTGCAGTCCTGCAGGATATCCATGGGTTGTGCAGACATCTTCCTTGCACTCACCACAAGGGCACTGCAGACAGGGCTGGTGAGGTAGTTCAACATTTTTCCTCACCCTCGCCCCTCCCCTCCACCTCCTCCCCCTCCGCCTCCTCTTTTCTTCCTCCTGCTCCTCCTCCTGCTCCTCCTCCTGCTCCTCCTCCTCCTCCTCCTCCTCCTTACTGTTCATCTCTTCCTTGCTACGTTCCCACAATGGACCCACAGATCATCATCACTGATTTGAGTGTGTGCTATTTCACTGCAGGCAACACGACTTAAACAGGAGCAACATGAACTGCTAATGGAGCGGAAGGCGATCATCGAGGCTGTAAGGCACTGCCTAAGACAATAAGCAAGCAACTGCATTCGTAGAGTTGTGTTTTCTCATCCCACTCTCATTGTCATTTCATAAACTAACGAAGCAGTACTGCGGGGGATAACGGGTATGTCATGGTGCATATGCATTGCTAGCACATGATGCACTCGTCATGAATATTGCGGTCAAGGTTAATTCATTGCGTCAAGTCGCTGCTGAAGATGGTGTGTTCTGTAAGTTTTAAAACTTCCAGCTCAAGTCCAGTGGTTTCCAGTTCTGCGCATTGATATAGGGATCGATGCTTGGATATGTTTTTTCGCACTGCAGGAGGATGAAAGACAAAAACTTGAGGAGCAACACAAGCAAGCTGAATATGGGTCAGTGATACTTCGGGTGTTTCTTCTGTACAAACCCTCTGCACATGTACATCAGGTAGTGTTTGATCACCGTACACACTGGTGCATGCGGTCTTCATGTGTCATGCCGAATAGCATGAATCAATCCCTAAGAGCGTGTGATCTGTCTGGTGGGAAAGCATCATTGTCTATAGACCATCGCACCACCCCACCCCACCCCACACCACCCCATACCACACCACACCACCCCATACCACACCACCCCACCCCACACCACACCACCCCACCCCACACCACCCCATACCACACCACACCACCCCACACCACACCACCCCACCCCACCCCACACCACCCCATACCACACCACACCACGTCATCGCTTGGAAGTAGAGCGGAATGATATGCAGCGATTAGTCTTGTCACGAGATTGCTGCTATCTTGGTACTATGATGGGTATAGACATGTAATGTATGGCTAACTAAGATTCTCCCCCCCCCCCCCCGCCTCCTCTCTCTCTCACTCTCTCTCTCTCTCTCCTCTCTCTCTCTCTCTCTCTCTCTCTCTCTCTCTCTCTCTCTCTCTCTCCCGGCTACCGACTCCTCGTGTTCTCCCTGCCATCACACTGGCTGGAACAGACGTCAGCTAACTCGTCAGTACAAAGCACAACTACGGCGAAAGTCACGGCTGGTCCAGGAAGAGTTGGTAAGAAAGTAGTACGGCAACAATCATGTTCAAGTTGCTTGGCGTTGCTCTGTGTCATTTGACGAAGCAGTTGCTGGACTGGGCAAATACTAAATGCATTATTTTCATGGCTGTAAGACCCAGGCTGTAAGGTCCGGACTCGTAAGCCCCATTGTACGACCTGACTGTAAGACCCGGACTGTGTAAAATCCAGGTGCTTAGACCACGATCTGCTGATCAAATACCTGTATCTGTCTGTCGCATGTCAGTGGCTTCAGCATGAATACAGGGTATCTCTTTGCTTGTGTCCTTCTTTTGAATGTAGGAGCTGGACATGCAGATATTGAACAGAATGCTGGAAGAGGTATTGGCTGAGCACTGTCCAGTCCTGTTTTATTCCTTGACTCAAGTTTTGTTTGTTCTGATGCCGTTTAAATACTGAGTTTTAAGTACCTAGCTAAGCTGTTCTAAAGTTACACTTTTGAGGTATTGGACGGGAAGATTCTATGCCAAATGGTAGGTTGATACTGTGACCTGCATTCACTCCGATGCCGCACTGCAACCTCATTATTTACTCCTCTCTTCAAGTGATTGAGCAGAGCACCATTGCTAGATGTGCAATTGACCAGATCAGTTGCAATCCAGCTGATCCTCTCTGGCTTCACGAAGACCACCTCCATCACAGGGCATCTTTCAAGTGCCGTCTATCCTGCTACCAACTTCTTGTATTTTACACAATCATGTTAAACATTATGTTGGCCACCAGCCAGCACTGCGTGTCCAAGGATGAGGAGCAGTTGCTGCAGCTCGGGGTTTCGCAAATTCTGAATCCAGTACATGTACGATGTAGCGCAATGTGAGCGTATGATTTGACTGTGCTGTTGTTCTGCAGGAGAAGTATGTTGCCCAAGTTGAGACTTCAAGGCGGGAAAAGGCTCGTACCGATGCAGCATGGATGAAAGAGGTAATGAACCATCTCAATGTGCTTATACCTATAGCAACTCCACATCAAGCTTGACAATCCTCAGTTTTAAAGTTGAAATGTGGGGTTGCACTGAGACTGAGTAAAATGCTTTTCTACAGATATCCTCTGCTGTTCTTCCCTTCCTCTTCTTCTTCCTCCTCCTCCTCCTTTTCCTCTTCCTCCTCCTCCTCCTTTTCCTCCTCCTACCTTTCCTCCTCCTCCTCCTCCTTTTCCTCCTCCTCCTCCCCTCCTCCTCCTCCTCCTCCTCCTTCTCCCCCCAGACATACACACACTAATGATGTTCATCGCTCTCCAGCATCCACTGTACCTATGATCTCT